CAGCACAGCCAGGGAGAGGGTGGGTGGGTGAGTGAGTGGGTGAGTGGGTGAGTGGGTGGGTGGGTGAGTGGGTGAGTGAGTGAGTGGGTGAGTGAGTGGGTGGGTGAGTGAGTGGGTGGGTGGGTGAGTGAGTGAGTGGGTGGGTGAGTGAGTGGGTGGGTGGGTGGGTGAGTGAGTGGGTGAGTGCGTGAGTGGGTGGGTGGGTGAGTGAGTTTGTGAGTGGGTGGGTGAGTGGGTGAGTGGGTGGGTGAATGGGTGGGTGAGTGGGTGAGTGGGTGAGTGAGTGAGTGGGTGAGTCATTGGGTGACTCATTGGGTGAGTAAATGGGTGAGTCATTGGTGAGCGGGAGGGTGAGTGAGATCTGTGTCTTTGTGTCTGTTTCAGAAACAGCTCCGCAAGCAGCAAAGGAGATCAAAGCGAGTGTGTGACTCACACAACATCGCCTACCCACAACCACCACCACCACACACAATCACCACCACCTCCACCACACACAATCACCACCACCACACACAATCATCGCCACCACCACACACAATCATCACCACCACCACACACAATCATCACCAGCGCCGTTATGAATATGGGTCTCTGTGGGTCTCTATGAGTAGGGGTCTCTGTGGGTCTCTATGAGTCTCTGGAACTCTGTGGGACTCTATGAGTATGGGTCTCTGTGGGTGTCTGTGGGTCTCTGTGAGTATCTATGAGTATGGGTCTCTGCGAGTCTCTGGATCTCTTTGGGTCTCTATGAGTATGGGTCTCTATGATTATGGATGTCTGTGGGTCTCTATGAGTATGGGTCTCTGTGAGTCTCTATGAGTATGGATCTCTGTGGGTCTCTATGAGTATGGGTCTCTGTGGGTCTCTATGAGTATGGGTCTCTGTGGGTCTCTATGAGTATGGATCTCTGTGGGTCTCTGTGAGTATGGGTCTCTGTGGGTCTCTATGAGTATGGGTCTCTGTGAGTCTCTGTGGGTCTCTGGATCTCTGTGGGTCGCGATGATTATGGGTCTGGAGACTCGGTGAGGCCGCGATGGGTTAACGAGTTTGGGTGGTGGTAGTCGTAGCCGTCGTAGTGACAGTAACAATACACGTACATTTACCCCTGTGTGTTGCAGATAAGGAGAGTGACATCACAAAGACATCCACAGATGCCATGCCCAGTAAGTACAGCGTGCGTGTGTGTGGAGTGTGTATGTGTTTAATGTGTGTGCATGTGTGTAGTATGTGTGTTGTGTGTGTGTGTAGTGTGCGCGTGTATGTGTGTGTGTGAAAATATCAAATGAAGCTTGTGCCGGAGTCCCCGGGGGGACAGGCGTCTATGACGTCTCCTGGCCAAACCCCATTTGGTGGAGCCAAGAGATTGAATCTCTACCCTCGGGGCTCCTCCAGAAACAACGAAAAGCCACTTCGTGTGGCCACGTGGAATGTTCGAACGCTCACTGCGGAGGAGAGACTGCCACTCCTCTATCGAGAGCTGGACCGGTACCGCTTGGATCTCTGTGGCATTCAGGAGGTCCGGTGGACCGGCTCTGGCTCCTGCCACAATGAGGGATGGACAGTCCTCTACTCGGGGCAGCAGACTGCCAAACAACAGGGAGTGGGTCTTCTTCTGAACAAAGAATGAAGAGGGCGTGGGAGCGTGGCGGTGAGGTGTGGGAAGCTGTAAGCCCCAGGCTACTTTGGGCTCGCCTTCCCATCAACCAGAGGCGAGGAGTGGTGGTCGTGGTTACTTATGTCCCCACCGAAAACGAACATCCGTGGAGGGATGCAGGCAAAGCCGATGAGTCAGATGCCTTCTATGACCTCCTGTCACAGGTGCTGGCTAAAGTGGCCCCTCGGGATAGAGTCATCATGTTGGGTGACTTCAATGCCCGAGTTGGTCATGATACTGGCACCTGGTCTGGAGCGATTGGAGGGCATGGGCCAGATCAGCTCAATAACAACGGTAGGAGGCTGATAGATTTTTGCAGCCCATGGGCTTGTAATTACCAACACGCTGTTCCGGCATCAGCGCATCCACCAAACATCATGGATGCATGCCGGGTCCAAGCAAGAACATCTGCTGGACTACGTAGTGACGGACCAGCGGATGCGAGCCCATGTCCTTGATACCAGGACCTACCGTGGAGCTGATCTGCAGTCTGACCATCGACTAGTCATCTGTAAGATGCGCCTGACATTCTTACACTCCAGTGGTGGGTGTACACCCAGGACCCCATTCCAACCTAAAGTGGCCTGGTCTCAGTTATCTGATGAAAATTGCAAGCGAGAATTTCATCATCGTGTGCGGCTGGGGTTGGCATCGTCCCACACTCCTCCTGATGTCGAGGGTAAATGGGCGAGGTTTAGGACTGTGACTCATGCAGCTGCAATGGCTGCTTTGGGTATGCGGTCCAGACCTCCCCAGAGACCCTGGCTGACAGAGGAGGTGTTCAGGATGGTTGAGAAAAAGCGACAGGCCCACTGTCATCGGTTACAGAATCCCACATCAGAGAATGAGGAGGCTTACCGCAGCCTTTGCTCGGAGGTTCGGAGAGCCGTGAGGTGCTGCAAGGGTGGGTGGTGGTCGCGGGTTGCTGAGGAGATGGAGTCTGCCTCAGTGGCCCGCGATCACAAATCTCTATTTAACTCCATCAAAAATGTAACCTGCAGCACCACACCTATCACCATCATTAGGGGAAAAAAACGGTGATCCAATCTCCGACCCCCAGGAACAGGTTTGCAGATTTGTTGAGCATTTCTGTGAGGTCCTGGGGAAGGGGAAATCCCTCAGCCAGGAAAACATCGTGGCACAAAGTGCGGATGACCCTGCTGAGGCTGCAGTGCCTCAAATATTGTAAGAAGTAACCCCCTGTGAGTGGCTGGCTGAGGTGCCTTCTGTTGAGGAAGTGAGTGGGTGAGTGAGTGGGTGGGTGAGTGGGTGAGTGAGTGGGTGAGTGGGTGAGTGAATGGGTGAGTCATTGGGTGAGTAAATGGGTGAGTCATTGGTGAGTGGGAGGGTGAGTGAGATCTGTCTTTGTGTCTGTTTCAGAAACAGCTCCGCAAACAGCAAAGGAGATCAAAGCGAGTGTGTGACTCACGCAACATCGCCTACCCACAACCACCACCACCACCACCACACACAATCACCACCACCACACACAATCACCACCACCACACACAATCACCACCACCACAAACAATCACCACCACCACCACACACAATCACCACAACCACCACCACACACAATCACCACAACCACCACCACACACAATCACCACCACCACCACACACAATCACCACCACAACCACAAACAATCACCACCACCACCACACACAATATCACCACCACCCACAATCACCACCACCACACACAATCACCCCCACTACCACCACCACACACAATCACCACCACCACACAATCACCACCACCACCACACACAATCGCCACCACCACCACAATCACCACCACCACAATCACCACCACCACACACACTCACCACCACCACACACAATCACCACCACCACACAATCACCACCACCACCACCACACACAATCACCACCATCACCACCACCACCACACACAATCGCCACCACCACCACAATCACCACCACCACAACCACCACACACAATCACCACCACAATCACCACCACAATCACCACCACCACAATCACCACCATCACCACCACCACCACCACAATCACCACCACACACCACCACCACCACACACCATCACCACCACACACAATCACCACCACCACATAAATCACCACCACACACAATCACCACCACCACAATCACCACCACACAATCACCACCACCACAACACACAATCACCACCACCACCATCACCACCACCATCGCCACCACCACCATCACCACCACACACCACACACAATCACCACCACAATCACCACCACCACACATAATCACGACCACACACAATCACCACCACACACCACCACCACCACACACCACCACACACCACCACCACCACCACACACCACCACCACCACAATCACCACAACTCGCTGTGACCCCCTCACGTCTGACCGCTGTGCTCAGTGCTGAACGCGGCGGCCTCCAACACCCGGAAGGAGACTTCCACCCCTACAGCAGCAGCAGCAGCATTGAGCAGTGAGTTCAACTCTCACAGCACAGCCAGGGAGAGGGTGGGTGGGTGGGTGAGTGGTGAGTGGGTGGGTGGGTGAGTGGGTGGGTGGGTGGGTGAGTGGGTGGGTGGGTGGGTGAGTGGGTGAGTGAGTGAGTGGGTGGGTGAGTGAGTGAGTGAGGGGGTGGGTGGGTGAGTGGGTGAGTGAGTGGGTGAGTGAGTGAGTGGGTGAGTGAGTTTGTGGGTGGGTGAGTGAGTTTGTGAATGGGTGGGTGAGTGGGTGGGTGAGTGGGTGAGTGAGTGAGTGGGTGAGTGAGTGGGTGGGTGAGTTATTGTGTGAGTTATTGGGTGAGTAAATGGGTGAGTCCTTGGTGAGTGGGAGGGTGAGTGAGATCTGTGTCTTCGTGTCTGTTTCAGAAACAGCTCCGCAAGCAGCAAAGGAGATCAAAGCGAGTATGTGACTCACACAACATCGCCTACCCACAACCACCACCACCACACACGATCACCACCACGACACAATCACCACCCCCACCACCACACACAATCATCACCAGCGCCGTTATGAATATGGGTCTCTGTGGGTCTCTATGAGTAGGGGTCTCTGTGGGTCTCTATGAGTCTCTGGAACTCTGTGGGACTCTATGAGTATGGGTCTCTGTGGGTGTCTGTGGGTCTCTGTGAGTATCTATGAGTATGGGTCTCTGCGAGTCTCTGGATCTCTTTGGGTCTCTATGAGTATGGGTCTCTATGATTATGGATGTCTGTGGGTCTCTATGAGTATGGGTCTCTGTGAGTCTCTATGAGTATGGGTCTCTGTGAGTCTCTATGAGTATGGATCTCTGTGGTTCTCTATGAGTATGGGTCTCTGTGGGTCTCTATTAGTATGGATCTCTGTGGGTCTCTATGAGTATGGGTCTCTGTGAGTCTCTGTGGGTCTCTGGATCTCTGGGGGTCGCGATGATTATGGGTCTGGAGACTCGGTGAGGCCGCGATGGGTTAACGAGTTTGGGTGGTGGTAGTCGTAGCCGTCGTAGTGACAGTAACAATACACGTACATTTACCCCTGTGTGTTGCAGATAAGGAGAGTGACATCACAAAGACATCCACAGATGCCATGCCCAGTAAGTACAGCGTGTGTGTGTGTGGAGTGTGTATGTGTTTAATGTGTGTGCATGTGTGTAGTATGTGTGTTGTGTGTGTGTGTGTAGTGTGCGCGTGTATGTGTGTGTGTGAAAATATCAAATGAAGCTTGTGCCGGAGTCCCCGGGGGGACAGGCGTCTATGACGTCTCCTGGCCAAACCCCATTTGGTGGAGCCAAGAGATTGAATCTCTACCCTCGGGGCTCCTCCAGAAACAACGAAAAGCCACTTCGTGTGGCCACGTGGAATGTTCGAACGCTCACTGCGGAGGAGAGACTGCCACTCCTCTATCGAGAGCTGGACCGGTACCGCTTGGATCTCTGTGGCATTCAGGAGGTCCGGTGGACCGGCTCTGGCTCCTGCCACAATGAGGGATGGACAGTCCTCTACTCGGGGCAGCAGACTGCCAAACAACAGGGAGTGGGTCTTCTTCTGAACAAAGAATGAAGAGGGCGTGGGAGCGTGGCGGTGAGGTGTGAGAAGCTGTACGCCCCAGGCTACTTTGGGCTCGCCTTCCCATCAACCAGAGGCGAGGAGTGGTGGTCGTGGTTACTTATGTCCCCACCGAAAACGAACATCCGTGGAGGGATGCAGGCAAAGCCGATGAGTCAGATGCCTTCTATGACCTCCTGTCACAGGTGCTGGCTAAAGTGGCCCCTCGGGATAGAGTCATCATGTTGGGTGACTTCAATGCCCGAGTTGGTCATGATACTGGCACCTGGTCTGGAGCGATTGGAGGGCATGGGCCAGATCAGCTCAATAACAACGGTAGGAGGCTGATAGATTTTGCAGCCCATGGGCTTGTAATTACCAACACGCTGTTCCGGCATCAGCGCATCCACCAAACATCATGGATGCATGCCGGGTCCAAGCAAGAACATCTGCTGGACTACGTAGTGACGGACCAGCGGATGCGAGCCCATGTCCTTGATACCAGGACCTTCCGTGGAGCTGATCTGCAGTCTGACCATCGACTAGTCATCTGTAAGATGCGCCTGACATTCTTACACTCCAGTGGTGGGTGTACACCCAGGACCCCATTCCAACCTAAAGTGGCCTGGTCTCAGTTATCTGATGAAAATTGCAAGCGAGAATTTCATCATCGTGTGCGGCTGGGGTTGGCATCGTCCCACACTCCTCCTGATGTCGAGGGTAAATGGGCGAGGTTTAGGACTGTGACTCATGCAGCTGCAATGGCTGCTTTGGGTACGCGGTCCAGACCTCCCCAGAGACCCTGGCTGACAGAGGAGGTGTTCAGGATGGTTGAGAAAAAGCGACAGGCCCACTGTCATCGGCTACAGAATCCCACATCAGAGAATGAGGAGGCTTACCGCAGCCTTTGCTCGGAGGTTCGGAGAGCCGTGAGGTGCTGCAAGGATGGTTGGTGGTCGCGGGTTGCTGAGGAGATGGAGTCTGCCTCATTGGCCCGCGATCACAAATCTCTATTTAACTCCATCAAAAAAGTAACCTGCAGCACCACACCTATCACCATCATTAGGGGAAAAAACGGTGATCCAATCTCCGAACCCCAGGAACAGGTTTGCAGATTTGTTGAGCATTTCTGTGAGGTCCTGGGGGAGGGGAAATCCCTTAGCCAGGAAAACATCGTGGCACAAAGTGCGGATGACCCTGCTGAAGCTGCAGTGCCTCAAATATTGGAAGAAGTCACCCCCTGTGAGTGGCTGGCTGAGGTGCCTTCTGTTGACGAAGTACTGAAGGCGATCTGGAGTCTGAGACCAGGAAAGGCACCGGGTAGAGACGATCTACCAAGTGAAATGCTGAGGGAGGGTGGCGTTTGTGCACAGACTGCCCTATATGACATCATAACAACAGTCTGGACCACTGGACAGGTTCCGCAGGATTGGAAGGATGCCCTGGTGGTCCCCCTCTTTAAGAAGGGGGATCGGACAGGCTGTAACAACTACAGGGGCATCTCACTCCTCAGTGTGCCAGGAAAGGTCCTGGCAAGGATTATTCAACATCGCCTTGCCAGGCACGCTGAGGAGAGGCTTGCGGAGCCCCAATGCGGTTTCAGGAAAGGGCGGTCCTGCACAGATGCCACATTTTCTGTCCGTCTGCTACAGCAGAGGTGTAGGGAATTCCAACAAGACCTACATCTCCGCTTTATTGACCTGGTCAAGGCCTATGATACCATCAGTAGGCCTGGGCTCTGGGTTGTTCTTTGTGCTTTTGGAGTCCCTGACCCTCTGCTCATGATCATTAAGGACCTTCATGATGGTGAGCGGGCCCAGGTAAAACTACGTGGCCGGGAGTCAGAGCCATTCCCTGTTCACCTTGGGGTGCGACAGGGATGTCCTCTGGCTCCCACATTATTTAACATCTATTTTGACCACGTAATTCGTGAAGCCTTCAATAGCTGTACCGGGGGAATCTCCGTTTGGTACAGATATAATGGGAGGCTGATTGATGCCCGGGTGCGGTCAAGGGATGGCTCCCTATTGCTCAGCCACGTTTTGTATGCCGATGACTTGGTAGTAGCTGCTCATTCAGAGGAGGATTTGGAGATGCTGCTGCTGAGACTGGAGCGTGCCACTAAGAGGTGGGGCCTTTCCATCAGCCCCACCAAAACTAAGCACCTGCCTGGGTATTTTATACCATCGGACACTCCACCCCCACAACTCCCAATCGGTGATGGGACAGTTGTGGAGAGTTTCCCATATCTGGGCAGTGTGCTTATGTGGGTCTCTATGAGTCTCTGTGGGTCTCTGTGGATCTCTATGAGTATGGGTCTCTATGAGTCTCTGTGGGTCTCTCTCAGTATGGATATGTATGAGTGTGGGTCTCTATGAGTGTGGGTCTCTATGAGTATGGGTCTCTATGGGTATGGGTCTGTATTGGTCTCTATGGGTCTCTGTGGATCTATTTGACTATGAGTCTCTGAGTCTCTGTGGGTCTCTATGAGTATGGGTCTCTATGAGTGTGGGTCTCTGTGAGCGTGGGTCTCTGTGAGTGTGGGTCTCTATGAGTGTGGGTCTCTATGAGTGTGGGTCTCTATGAGTGTGGGTATCTATGAGTATGGGTCTCTATGAGTGTGGGTGTCTTTGAGTATGGGTCTCTATGAGTTTGAGTCTCTATGAGTATGGGTCTCTATGAGTATGGGTCTCTGTGAGTCTCTATGAGTATGAGTCTCTACGAGTATGTGTCTCTATAAGTCTCTGTGGATCTCTATGAGTATGGGTCTCTATGAGTTTGAGCCTCTATGAGTATGGATCTCTATGAGTATGGGTCTCTACGAGTGTGGGTCTCTATGAGTATGGGTCTCTATGAGTGTGGGTCTCTATGAGTGTGTAGGTCTCTATGAGTATGGGTCTCTATGAGTATGGGTCTCTATGAGTATGGGTCTCTATGAGTGTGGGTCTCTATGAGTATGGGTCTCTATGAGTATGAGTCTCTATGACTGTGGGTCTCTATGAGTGTGAGTCTCTATGAGTATGGATCTCTATGAGTATGGGTCTGTATGAGTATGGGTCTATATGAGTATGGGTCTCTATGAGTCCGTGTGCGTCTCTATGGGCCACGTCGTTGCTGACCAAAGAAGAACCGTATTCGCTCGGAGGTTCCCTTTGGGGGTAAAATAAAAAAACATATATTCCGGTTTATTTTGGTAAACTCATGTAGAAGGGAAACAATATATCTTTTTTCATTATTTCCCTTCTACGTGACTTTACCGAAAGAACCCATAATATGAATCCCTGCAGTCAAGAAAGCTTTCAAAAAACACAATAGTTGGTAGTTTTATTAGCCGACCGCTCTACCAGTTTAATTCAACCGCGTCTGCCGTGTTCACAGAGAACGAGACATCGTCGTCGTCGTCAGCCGAGAAGACAGACGACAAGAGCCGTGAGTGTCTCACACCGGCGAGACGCCTGTGCTCGTAAAGCCGTCGCTGCAGGGGAGGGTTATGTGAAGCAGTAAGCAACGATGGCTTACAGCTGTGCTGATAATTCTCAACGAGGGATGAAAACCTGGTTTTTATACGCTATACAACAGTCCCCCCCCCCCCCCCCATCATTGTCCTGCTACACTGCCGCTGTGACACTTTGCTCCGGTTGATTTTGTACGACCGGGGTGAGAACGACTCAAGGAGAGACCCAGGGATAGAGGGAGTCCCGCTTGCTGGAGTGGCCAGGAGTTAAGGAGTATCATGTGGTTGGGTTGGAGGCTGTGAGGCTTTAACTCAACCACCGTCTATCGGGCTCACAGAGAACAAGACGCCGTCGTCACCGTTTGCCTGAGCATCCAGGAGTTGAGGGTCTCGCCGCCGATTCTCGCGGTTGGCTACGTACGGTGGTTACGTTAAAGAAGTTCAACACACGTAGACTCTACGTACAGCAGGCGGTCGGATGCTGTGAGGTTCAACTCCCCGTGTCTGTCGCATTCGCAGAGAACAAGAAACCAACGTCAGCCGACGACACGGACGACAAGAGCCGTGAGTGTCTCAGCCGCTCTACATTACAACAACAACAACCAGTGGTGACCCATCCTCCTCTATGGTGGGAGCTAATGGGGGATGACCATGGACTCGATGTGTGGTTTGTTGTCCATCCCGTACGGTGGTATGAAAGACGTTCTACATACAGACATTACACACTATACTACGATATAGTACACTATACACTACACTACTACACACTACACTATACACTACACCACTATACACTACACTACTATACACTACATTATACACTACATTATACACTACACCACACTACTATACACTACACCATACACTACACCACTGTACACTACACTACTATACACTACACCACTGTACACTCCACTACTATACACCACACTACTATACACTACACTACTATATACTACTCTACTATACACTACACTATACACTACACCATACACTACACCACTGTACACTCCACTACTATACACATACTACTTTACACTACACTATACACTACACCACTGTACACTACACTATACACTACACCACTATACACTACACGACTGTACACTTCACTACTATACACTACACTACTATACACTACACTACTATACACTACACCACTGTACACTACACTACTATACACTACACTACTATATGCTACACTACTATACACTACACTACTATACACTACACCACTGTACACTACACTACTATACACTACACTACTATACACTACACCACTGTACACTACACTACTATACACTACACTACTATACACTACACCACTGTACACTACACTACTATACACTACACCACTGTACACTACTATACACTACACCACTGTACATTACACTACTATACACTACACCACTATACTACAATGGTAACTGTGTCCGGTTCACAGAGAACAAGACATCGTCATCGTCAGCTAAGAAGACAGATGAAAAGAGCCGTGAGTGAAACAACATTTGTTGAAATTACGCAAGGGCCGTGAGGCTGGGATGTGCACGGACAATACAACTTACATTTTCGACTCTTTGGGTCTTTCGGTAAAGTCACGTGGATAGAAAAATAACAACATAAAATCACGACGTTTCGATCGCAGGGCAAAAGCACTCGTCTTCAGGTGAAAAAAAAAACCATACAGCAGGCGGACTGCTGAGGAGGCAGGAAGAAATCTAGCGAGAGGGCAGCCGTAGGTCATAAATGTTTTGAGATGGGTACAAGCCAAGTGTAGTGAGTCCAACTGAGTTGCAGACGTTGTTTTTGGGAGCAACAATATTTATTCAATAGATCAACAAAACACAAGCAACACTTGTGGTGTTGAATGTCCACCCAGCGACGCTACGGCATCAACTAGACACGGTTCGCTATCCCGGCCCATGACCACGAGCTGGGTCCCGGACCCGCGTGGCTAGAGGCTTCTCCTCCCCCAGCGTGGACCTTCTTCACCGGCGACACTAAGAACCCGGAGCCCCTCACGGGGGCCCCCCCGTTACATCGGCCCGGCCCGGGGCCGGCCCCGCACCCTCGCCCCACCCAACCTTCCAGATCTCTCCGGCTCTTTCCCGAAGGCTCCCCCGAGAGCTCCTCTATACCACGTGACCGCCCAGCGGGGCCTCCCCCCCGCCACCCGTCCGCCGGTGGCCCCCCTCCAAAATCGTCCGGTCACGTGTCGGCGGGCGAACCGGCGTATCGTGCCCCAGCGTAAACCCTGGCTGGCCGACGCTCCCCCTGGCTCCCTCACCGGGAGCCCCGCACCTCACGCCGCCGCTCGCGGTGCCCCCGCTGCTGACCGGCGCTCACCCCAAGCCCCGCTAGGGCCGGCGCTACGCGCCAGCGAGCGGCCTGCACGTGATGTCAACACATTATCCGCCGCGGGCCCCGTAAGCGCGGCACCACACGGTGAGAATCACGGCCGCTTGCACAAGTAAGTGGAAGATCGCAGAGCTAGGTATACCTCGGCCGTTGTATTGCCAGAGATGAGCGCGTGTCAGTGTGAGACGGTTCCCGCAGCAGCGGCTGTGTTAACGAGGGAGACGTTCAGCTTATTAAACAACGAGCGTCGCCACCGCATCGAGGAAAAGGGAGCAGCCGCTATTGTTAGTGAGACATTTAGCCTGTTAATGTAAAGACATTTAGCCTGTCAATGTAAAGACATTTAACAAGGTAATGTAACTCAGAGGGTCGGAAATAACTGCTAACATAGGCAGGTAGGATGGAAGCATCACAGCCAGTTGTGACTTTACCTGGTCATTAACGTCCTTCCAAAGATTGCTAACTTTGTACCCATCTTTATTATTTTATTATATTTCTACCTACGTGACTTTACCGAAAGACCAAAAGCGTATGAATTCCTACAGTCACGAAAGCTTTAAGTCAAGATTTAATACATAATCGATTTATAGCAGCAACCACACACTCTAAACACGTGCTGTTGATTCCACAAAGTGAAGGGAAAAACCGCAGAGGAAGCGGAGGAAAAATCCACGGAATGACGGGTGGAGAGAGAGAGAGAGAGACGTTAACATCAGGCTCAGGCTCTTTGGTTCTATTGGGTAAAGTCACGTAGGTGAAAATAAAATAACAAAAAATCCGAAACGTCGTGATTTTTTGTTATTTTATTTTCACCTACGTGACTTTACCCAATAGAACCAAAGAGTATGGATCCTAGCAGTCACGGAAGCTTTAAATCTAGAACCAGGTTCAGGATTGAACCCACGACCTCCTGTACCAGGCGAGGTAGTTGTCATCTCCTAGCCGCCGTGGCGATGATGTTAGATAGTACTGGCGAAACACAATGACCCACAGATGAGAGGAATGGGGGTTGGCGAGCGGTGGTTTAGTGGCTGAACGCTGTTTGGTTTAACTCAACCGGGTCTATATTCTTAGTTCTTTCGGTAAAGTCACGTTGAAGGGAAACAACAAAATAATAAATATATATAAATATTATTGTTTTTTATATATTTTATTATTTTGTTGTTATATATATAAAATATTATTGTTTTACATATATTTTATTATTTTGTTGTTTCCCTTCAACGTGACTTTACCGAAAGAACTAAGAATATGAATTACTGCAGTCACGAAAGCTTTAAATCAAAATTCAACCGGGTCTGTTGTGTTCACAGAGAACAAGACATCATCAGCCGAGAAGACGGACGACGAGAACCGTGAGTGTCTCACACCAGCGAGACGCCTGTTCTCGTAAGACCGTCGAAGCAGACATCTCACACAGTAGCTCTGATGCTGCATGGGAGGACGTTGATGAAGCAGTAACCAACGATGGATTTGGTTGTGCTGATGATTCCCAACAAGGGGATGAAACCCCAGGGTTATATCATAGTCTCCACCATTGTCCTGCTATACTGCCATTGCGACTCTTTGCTTTAAATTTCGATTTAAAGCTTTCGTGACTGCAGGGATTCATATTCTTGGTTCTTTCGGTAAAGTCACCACCACGTAGAAGGGAAACAATAAAATAATAAAAATATAAAACAATAAAATTCTCACCTGATGATGATTGCTTCTTGTGTTGCAGTCGAAACGTCGTGAGAATTTTATTGTTTTATGTATTTTTTATATTATTATTTTATTGCTTCCTTGCTTTAAGCTGATTTCGTACGACCGGGGCAAGAACGACTCGAGGAGAGATCAGGGATAGAGGGAGTCCTGTTGGCTAGAGCGGTCAGGAGTTAAGAGTAGCACCTCCAATGATCATGTTTGGTTACATACAGTGGTGCAAAAGTAGTTCAACACGCACATACCTACATACAGCAGGCGGCCGGACGCTGTGAGGCTTAACTCCCCGATTCTGTCGTGTTCACAGAGAACAAGACATCATCGTCTTCATCATCAGCCGAGAACACAGACGACAAGAACCGTGAGTGTCTCACGCCAACAAGACGCCTTTTCTCGTAAAACCGTTGAAGCAGACATCTCACAAATTGGGTTTGCCACTGCCGGGAGGGGTTTACAAAGCAGTAAGCAACAATGACTATACTGTGCTGATGATTCCCAACGAGGGATAATGCCCAGGGGTTCGTAGAACAGTCCCCCATTGTCCGGCTTGCTGCCATTGCGACTCTTTGCTCAAGTAGATTTTGCTCCAAGCAGGGTGAGAACGACTCAAGGTGAGACCAGGGATAGAGGGAGTCCCGCTTGTAACAGTAGCCAGGGGTTAAGAGGAGCAGGTGGTTGAGATGGACGCTGTGAGGTTTTAAGTCAACCACGTCTGTCGTGTTCACAGGGAACAAGACATCGTCAGGCGGGAAGACAGGCGACGAGAACCGTGAGTATCTCACACCGGCGAGACGCCTGTTCTCGTAAAACCGTTGAAGCAGACATCTCACACAGTGGCTCTGTAGCTGCAGGGGAGGGGGTTTATGAAGCGGTAAGCAACGATGGCTTACGCTGCGCTGATGGTTTCCGAACAAGGGAATGAAACCCGGTGTTTATACAACAGTCCCCCCCCCCCCATTGTCCTGCTATACTGCCATTGTTCAAGTTGATTTTGTACGTTGGGGATGAGAACGACTCAAGGAGAGATGGACGCTGTGATGTGTTAAGTCAACCATGTCTGTGGGTTTTACAGAGAACAAGACATCGCCGTCGTCAGCCGAGAAGTCAGACGGCAAGAGCCGTGAGTGCCTGACCCAGCGTCCTAAAACCCCTCGCCCGTGTGAGACGCTCGCATCTCTCAGCATGCGGGCATCCACATTGCACGGAACCAGAGCTCAGGGATAACCTGTGCAGGAGCCGGCCACCCACGGTGTTGAATTGTGAATGAACTGTGACCTTCACTCAGCCATTCATTCGTGCATGAAACGTTCCGCCCATAGAGAGGTGCGGGGCGCGAATTCTCCGCTGCGGGTTCCTCGCTGACTTCCGCTGATCTCTTCGCTGCCCGCGCCGTCTTCCTCTTAGAATGTTGATGAGGTTGATCGTATCTGGTCCTGACCTCCCTCTTTGTCTCTCTCGACTCAAAAAAAAATCCCTCGCTAGCGATTGACAAGGCTGAGTCTGACTGCCATGCTCGCGACGAGAGGAATGGTGGCGAGCGAGCGGGCGTTGAGCGGCTGAACGCCGTGATTGTTTTATTGCCCCATGTTTGTCGTGTTCACAGAGGACAAGACACCACCATCGTCGTCGTCGTCAGCTGAGAAGACAGACGACAAGAGCCGTGAGTGTCTCGATGGGAGCTTTTTGGCAGGAATATCAAAAATTATGAAAAATAAGAATAGGTTTGTAGGCTTCTCTGGCAGTGAAATAGGAGCTGAGTTAAATGGATTAGACACCAAATAACTGACGTAGAAGGGAAACAATAAAATAATAAAAATGTAAAACAAGAAAATTCTCACGACATTTCGACTGCAACACAAGCAATCATCATCAGGTGTGAAAACCACAGCAAGAAAAACGTCGTGATAATTGTATTGTTTTATATTTTTACTATTTTATTGTTTCCCTTCTACGTGGTGGTGACTTTACCGAAAGAACCAAGAATATGAATCCCTGCAGTCACGAAAGCTTTAAATCGAAATCAAATAACTTCTCGAGCTGAGCTATAAGAGTTCGGAAAGTCCTTGCATTGTCTTTTGTCCTGTTCGCCTTTTGGCGATCTCTGCTCCGTTAACACTGGTGCAAGGCCACAGAGAAGGCTGTGTCTGGTGTAGGCCAATCAGTTTCAACGACAATGCGTTCACTTTCATTGTCAGCATGTCGGCTTCCATGTTTTTGCCACAAGTATGATGGTGTGGTTCATGAAGATTTGATGCCTTGCAAAATTTATTTTTCACAAAGGTATCTTAGTTGTGTTTGAACATCTTAGCACAACTCCTATTTTAATTGCCAGAGAAGGTAAAATACTATGCATTTTTTATATCAGCCACGAGTTTCTCACACCAGCGAGATACTTGATCTCAATGACTCGTCGAAGCAGATATCTCACAGACTGGCTCTGTCGCTGCAGTGCGAGGGGGTTTATGAAGCGATAACCAACGATGGCTTACGCTGTGCTGATGATTCCGAACAAGGGAATGAAACCCGGTGTTTATACAACAGTCCCCCCATTGTCCTGCTGTACTGCCGTTGTAGCTTTCTGTTCAAGTTAATTTTGTACGACGGGGATGAGAACGACTCAAGGAGAAACCAGGGATAGAGGGAGCCCCGTTTTCGAGAGTGACCAGGAGTTTAGAGCAGGTGGTTGAGATGCATTATGTGACGTTTTAAGTCAACCACGTCTCTCCATTTCCCAGAAAACAGCATGTGGTCGGACGCTGTTTGGTTTAACTCCCCGATTCTGTCGTGTTCACAGAGAACAAGACATCATCGTCGTCATCATCAGCCGAGAAAGCAGACGACAAGAACCGTGAGTGTCTCACACCAACAAGACGCCTTTTCTCGTAAAACCGTTGAAGCAGACATCTCACAAATTGGATTTACCACTGCCGGGAGGGGTTTACAAAGCAGTAAGTAACAATGACTATACTGTGCTGATGATTCCCAACGAGGGATAATGCCCAGGGGTTCATAGAACAGTCCCCCATTGTCCGGCTTGCTGCCATTGCGACTCTTTGCTCAAGTAGATTTTGCTCCAAGCAGGGTGAGAACGACTCAAGGTGAGACCAGGGATAGAGGGAGTCCCGCTTGTAACAGTAACCAGGGGTTAAGAGGAGCAGGTGGTTGAGATGGACGCTGTGAGGTTTTAAGTCAAGCACGTCTGTCGTGTTCACAGAGAACAAGACATTGTCAGCCGGGAAGACAGGCGACGAGAGCCGTGAGTATCTCACACCGGCGAGGCGCCTGTTCTCGTAAAACCGTTGAAGCAGACATCTCACACAGTGGCTCTGTAGCTGCAGGGGAGGGGGTTCATAAAGCGGTAGGCAACGATGGCTTACGCTGCGCTGATGGTTTCCGAACAAGGGAATGAAACCCGGTGTTTATACAACAGTCCCCCCCCCCTCATTGTCCTGCTATACTGCCATTGTTCAAGTTGATTTTGTACGTTGGGGATGAGAACGACTCAAGGAGAGATGGACGCTGTGATGTGTTAAGTCAACCATGTCTGTGGGTTTTACAGAGAACAAGACATCGCCGTCGTCAGCCGAGAAGTCAGACGGCAAGAGCCGTGAGTGCCTGACCCAGCGTCCTAAAACCCCTCGCCCGTGTGAGACGCTCGCATCTCTCAGCATGCGGGCGTCCACATTGCACGTAACCAGAGCTCAGGGATAACCGGTGCAGGAGCCGGCCACTGACGGTGTTGAATTGTGAATGAACTGTGACCTTCACTCAGCCATTCATTCGTGCATGAAACGTTCCGCCCATAGAGAGGTGCGGGGCGCGAATTCTCCGCTGCGGGTTCCTCTCCGACTTCCGCTGATCTCTTCGCTGCCCGCGCCGTCTTCCTGTTAGAATGTAGACGAGGTTGATCGTCTCTGGTCCTGACCTCCCTCTTTGTCTCTCTCGACTAAAAAAAAAAAATCCCTCGCTAGCGATTGACAAGGCTGAGTCTGACTGCCATGCTCGCGACGAGAGGAATGGTGGCGAGCGAGCGGGCGTTGAGCGGCTCAACGCCGTGATTGTTTTATTGCCCCATGTTTGTCGTGTTCACAGAGGACAAGACACCACCGTCATCGTCGTCGTCGTCAGCTGAGAAGACAGACGACAAGAGCCGTGAGTGTCTCGATGGGAGCTTTTTGGCAGGACTATCAAAAATTATGAAAAATAAGAATAGGTTTGTAGCCTTCTCTGGCAGTGAAACAGGAGCTGAGTTAAATGGTTTAGACACCAAATAACTGACGTAGAAGGGAAACAATAAAATAATAAAAATGTAAAACCATAAAATTCTCACGACGTTTTGACCGCAACACAAGCAATCATCATCAGGTGTGAAAACCACAGCAAGAAAAACGTCGTGATAATTTTATTGTTTTATATTTTTACTATTTTATTGTTTCCCTTCTACGTGGTGGTGACTTTACCGAAAGAACCAAGAATATGAATCTCTGCAGTCACGAAAGCTTTAAATCGAAATCAAATAACTTCTCGAGCTGAGCTATAAGAGTTCGGAAAGTCCTTGCATTGTCTTTTGTCCTGTTCGCCTTTTGGCGATCTCTGCTCCGTTAACACTGGTGCAAGGCCACAGAGAAGGCTGTGTCTGGTGTAGGCCAATCAGTTTCAACGACAACGCGTTCACTTTCATTGTCAGAATGTCGGCTTCCATGTTTTTGCCACAAGTATGATGGTGTGGTTCATGCAGATTTGATGCCTTGCAAAATTTATTTTTCACAAAGGTATCTTAGTTGTGTTTGAACATCTTAGCACAACTCCTATTTTAATTGCCAGAGAAGGTAAAATACTATGTTTTTTTTTACATCAGCCATTAGTGTCTCACACCAGCGAGATACTTAATCTCAATGACTCGTCGTAGCAGATATCTCACAGACTGGCTCTGTCGCTGCAGTGGAGGGTGCTTATGAAGCGATAACCAACGATGGCTTACGCTGTGCTGATGATTCCAAACAAGGGAATGAAACCCGGTGTTTATACAACATTCCCCTCCATTGTCCTGCTGTACTGCCGTTGTAGCTTTCTGTTCAAGTTGATTTTGTACGACGGGGATGAGAACGACTCGAGGAGAAACCAGGGATAGAGGGAGCCCCGTTTTCGAGAGTGACCAGGAGTTTAGAGGAGCAGGTGGTTGAGATGCATTCTGCGACGTTTTAAGTCAACCACGTCTCTCCGTTTCCCAGAGAACAGCATGTGGTCAGACGCTGTGGGGTTTAACTCCCCGATTCTGTCGTGTTCACAGAGAACAAGACATCATCGTCGTCATCATCAGCCGAGAAAGCAGACGACAAGAACCGTGAGTGTCTCACGCCAACAAGACGCCTTTTCTCGTAAAACCGTTGAAGCAGACATCTCACAAATTGGTTTTGCCACTGCCGGGAGTGGTTTACAAAGCAGTAAGCAACAATGACTATACTGTGCTGATGATTCCCAACGAGGGATAATGCCCAGGGGTTGATAGAACAGTCCCCCATTGGCCAGCTTGCTGCCATTGCGACTCTTTGCTCAAGTAGATTTTGCTCCAACCAGGGTGAGAACGACTCAAGGTGTCCAGGGATAGAGGGAGTCCCGCTTGTAACAGTAGCCAGGGGTTAAGAGGAGCAGGTGGTTGAGATGGACGCTGTGAGGTTTTAAGTCAACCACGTCTGTCGTGTTCACAGAGAACAAGACATCGTCAGCCGAGAAGACAGATGACGAGAGCCGTGAGTATCTCACACCGGCGAGGCGCCTGTTCTCGTAAAACCGTTGAAGCAGACATCTCACACAGTGGCTCTGTAGCTGCAGGGGAGGGGGTTTATGAAGCGGTAAGCAACGATGGCTTACGCTGCGCTGATGGTTTCCGAACAAGGGAATGAAACACGGTGTTTATACAACAGTCCCCCCCTCATTGTCCTGCTGTACTGCCATTGTTCAAGTTGATTTTGTACGTTGGGGATGAGAACGACTCAAGGAGAGATGGACGCTGTGATGTGTTAAGTCAACCATGTCTGTGGGTTTTACAGAGAACAAGACATCGCCGTCGTCAGCCGAGAAGTCAGACGACAAGAGCCGTGAGTGTCTCGATGGGACCTTTTTGGCAGGACTATGAAAAATTATGAAAAATAAGAATAGGTTTGTAGCCTTCTCTGGCAGTGAAACAGGAGCTGAGTTAAATGGTTTAGACACCAAATAACTGACGTAGAAGGGAAACAATAAAATAATACAAATGTAAAACAATAAAATTCTCACGACGTTTCGACCGCAACACAAGCAATCATCATCAGGTGTGAAAACCACGGCAAGAAAAACGTCGTGATAATTTTATTGTTTTATATCTTTATTATTTTATTGTTTCCCTTCTACGTGGTGGTGACTTTACCGAAAGAACCAAGAATATGAATCCCTGCAGTCACGAAAGCTTTAAATCGAAATCAAATAACTTCTTGAGCTGAGCTATAAGAGTTCGGAAAGTCCTTGCATTGTATTTTGTCCTGTTCGCCTTTTGGCGATCTCTGCTCCGTTAACACTGGTGCAAGGCCACAGAGAAGGCTGTGTCTGGTGTAGGCCAATCAGTTTCAACGACAATGCGTTCACTTTCATTGTCAGCATGTCTGCTTCCATGTTTTTGCCACAAGTATGATGGTGTGGTTCATGAAGATTTGATGCCTTGCAAAATTTATTTTTCACAAAGGTATCTTAGTTGTGTTTGAACATCTTAGCACAACTCCTATTTTAATTGCCAGAGAAGGTAAAATACTATGCATTTTTTATATCAGCCACGAGTTTCTCACACCAGCGAGATACTTAATCTCAATGACTCGTCGAAGCAGATATCTCACAGACTGGCTCTGTTGCTGCAGTGCGAGGGGGTTTATGAAGCGATAACCAACGATGGCTTACGCTGTGCTGATGATTCCGAACAAGGGAATGAAACCCGGTGTTTATACAACAGTCCCCCCATTGTCCTGCTGTACTGCCGTTGTAGCTTTCTGTTCAAGTTAATTTTGTACGACGGGGATGAGAACGACTCAAGGAGAAACCAGGGATAGAGGGAGCCCCGTTTTCGAGAGTGACCAGGAGTTTAGAGGAGCAGGTGGTTGAGATGCATTCTGTGACGTTTTAAGTCAACCACGTCTCTCCGTTTCCCAGAGAACAGCATGTGGTCGGACGCTGTGGGGTTTAACTCCCCGATTCTGTCGTGTTCACAGAGAACAAGACATCATCGTCGTCATCATCAGCCGAGAAAGCAGACGACAAGAACCGTGAGTGTCTCACGCCAACAAGACGCCTTTTCACGTAAAACCGTTGAAGCAGACATCTCACAAATTGGGTTTGCCACTGCCGGGAGTGGTTTACAAAGCAGTAAGTAACAATGACTATACTGTGCTGATGATTCCCAACGAGGGATAATGCCCAGGGGTTCATAGAACAGTCCCCCATTGTCCGGCTTGCTGCCATTGCGACTCTTTGTACAAAGTAGATTTTGCTCCAACCAGGGTGAGAACGACTCAAGGTGAGACCAGGGATAGAGGGAGTCCCGCTTGTAACAGTAGCCAGGAGTTTAGAGGAGCAGGTGGTTGAGATGGACGCCGTGAGGTTTTAAGTCAAGCACGTCTGTCGTGTTCACAGAGAACAAGACATCGTCAGCCGAGAAGACAGACGACGAGAGACGTGAGTATCTCACACCGGCGAGACGCCTGTTCTCGTAAAACCGTTGAAGCAGACATCTCACTTAGTGGCTCTGTAGCTGCAGGGGAGGGGGTTTATGAAGCGGTAGGCAACGATGGCTTACGCTGCGCTGATGGTTTCCGAACAAGGGAATGAAACCCGGTGTTTATACAACAGTCCCCCCATTATTCTTGGTTCTTTCACTAAAGTCACCACGTAGAAGGGAAACAATAAAATAATAAAATATAAAGCAATAAAATTCTCACGACGTTTCTACTGCAACAAAAGCAATCATCATCAGGTGTGAAAACCACTTTTTTCTAATTTTCTTGCTGTGGGTTTCACACCTGATGATGATTGCTTGTGTTGCAGTCGAAACGTCGTGGGAATTTTATTGTTTTATATTTTATTATTTTTTTTGTTTCCCTTCTACATGGTGGTGACTTTACCGAAAGAACCAAGAATATGAATCCCTGCAGTCACGAAAGCTTTAAATCAGTCCTCACATTGTCCTGCTATGCTGTCGTTGTGACTCTGTTTGAGTTGATTTTGTACAACCGGGGTGAGAACGACTCAAGGAGAGACCAGGGATAGAGGGTGTCCCGTTTGCAAAAGTGGCCATGAGTTAATAGCATCAGGTGGCTGGGTTGGACGCTGTGTGAGGTTTAACTCCACCGCGTTTGTCGGATTCACATAGAACAAGACATCGTCAGCTGAGAAAACAGACGACAAGAGCCGTGACCTTGTTTGCTAGTTATCAAAAACGATGAAGCGTTAAAATACGTTTGGTTACACCTCCTCGGGCTATTGCTCAGGAGCAATAGCCCGAGGAGTTACTTGCATTGCCTTTGTACTTGTTCATCTTTTTGCCCCGGTCGCAAGATGTTAACTACCTTGCCTGGTATACAGGAGGTCGTGGGTTCAATCCTGACCCTGACCCTGACTCCTGCTGTATATTTGGAGTTTGCATTTTCTCCCTGTGGTCACGTGGGGGTTTTCTTTGGGTCCTTCGGGTTTTCCCCCTCCACGTTTAGAATGAACGTGACGCGTTTAGAGCATTGGGCTGCTTTAAATTTCCACGTGAGCTATCACTTGTGGCCAGGTCGCTTCTGAACAGGAGCTACATAGCTCAGTGGGCCTTACCTGATAAACTATAAAATGATTCATATTCTTGGTTCTTTCGGTAAAGTCACGTTGAAGGGAAACAATAAAATAATAATATATATAAAACAAAAATTCTCACGACGTTTCGACTGCAACACAAGCAGCCATCATCAGGTGTGAAAACCAACGGCAAGAAACATTTGAAAGAAGTGGCGGTTTATATATATTTATTTTTAAACATTAGCACTACGGAGAGCGATTTGACAGTTTATTTAGATGGACGAGTCCATCTATGTTCGGAAAAGAGGAGGGGGGAGACGAAAAATTAATGTATGCTGTCTGAAAGCCACTGTAAGCGTGAACAATCAATTAAGACCTGAAATGGTTTATCAAATCCTTCCAATGATTGCTAAGCCAGAATCCATCTTCTCGGTTGAAATTGTCTCTGTGCTTGTATATGTGGATAGCCTCATGAACGAATCTCTCATGGTAGCCAGATGGCTTACAAAGAACCTCTGTCTTGGAAAAGGCAATGTCATGTGAGCCTACTGAATTATAACAATGATCTGCCACGGCCGAGGTGTTGGTCCTATCGTGTTTGAGGTCTGCTTTGTGTTCACGAATGCGGTCCGAGACATGGCGTTTGGTTTCTCCAATGTAACTACTACCACAGAGGCAACTTAGTTTGTAGACACCAGGGTGCTGTATGTCTGGAATCACTACAACTACAGTTTGTGAGACTCAGTTGCTTTACACACTACGCAATGACCCCGCCCATTGCCCTGCTTATTTGGCCGTTGGGTCTTTTTGCTCGAGTTGATTTCGTACGACCGGGGTGAGAACGACTCAAGGAGAGACCGGGAATAGAGCGAGTCCCGTTTGCAAGAGTGGCTAAGAGTAGCACCTACAATTAACATGGTTGGCTATGTGTACGGTGGGAAAGAAGATCAACACACACGCATACACATACAGCTGGTTGGTGCTGGACGCTGTGAGGCTTGACTCAAAGCGCGTCTGCCGCGTTCACAGAGAACGAGACGTCGTCGTCGTCAGCCGAGAAGACTGATGATTCCCAACGAGGGATAATGCCCAGGGGTTCGTAGAACAGTCCCCCATTGTCCGGCTTGCTGCCATTGTGACTCTTTGCTCAAGTAGATTTTGCTCCAAGCAGGGTGAGAACGACTCAAGGTGAGACCAGGGATAGAGGGAGTCCCGCTTGTAACAGTAGCCAGGGGTTAAGAGGAGCAGGTGGTTGAGATGGACGCCGTGAGGTTTTAAGTCGAGCACGTCTGTCGTGTTCACAGAGAACAAGACATCGTCAGCCGGGAAGACAGGCGACGAGAGACGTGAGTATCTCACACCGGCGAGGCGCCTGTGCTCGTGAAACCGTCGAAGCAGACATCTCACACAGTGGCTCTGTGGCTGCAGCAGAGGGTTATGTGGAGCAGTAAGCAACGATGGCTTGCATCTGTGCTGATGAATCCCAAAAAAAGGGCATGAAATCTGGTGTTCATACAACAGTCTCCCCATTCGTATTCTTGGTTCATTTGAAAAAGTCACCGCGTAGAAGGGAAACAATAAAATAATAATAAAAATACAGTTTTATATTTTTATTATTTTATTGTCTCCCTTCTACGTGGTGGTGACTTTACCAAAAGAACCAAGAATATGAATCCCTGCAGTCACGAAAGCTTTAAATCAAAATTTAGTCCACCCCCCCCCCCCCCCCCCATTGTCCAGCTATACCGCCGATGTGAATTTCTGCTCAAGTTGATTTTGTACGACTGAAGGAGGGATCAGGGCTAGAGTATCCAGGAGCTAGGAAAAGCACCTCCGATTAGCGCGGTTGGCTACGTACGGTGCGAAAAAAGTTCAACGTACACACACACGGGACGCTGCGAGGTTCAACTCCCCGCGTCTGTCGCGTTCACAGAGGACAAGACATCAACGTCAGCCGACGACACGGACGAAAAGAGCCGTGAGTGTCTCAGCCGCTCTACATTACAACAACAGCAACAACAAGTGGTGACCCATCCTCCTGTGTCACTGGAACTGTTGGGGGATGACCATGGACCCGATGTGTGGTTTGATGTCCTTCCCCCACACACACCTGCGATCAGCGTGACTTGGCTACATGCGGTGGTGGTTCTGAAGAAGTTCCACATACTTAGACACTGCACTATACACTACACTATACAATACACTATACACTACTATACACTACACTACTATACAATACACTATACAATACACTATACACTACTATACAATACACTATACACTACATACTACACTATACACTATACTACACTACACATTATTGTATAGTGTAGTGTATAGTGTAGTGTATAGTGTAGTGTATAGTGTAGTGTATAGTAGTGTGTAGTGTATAATGTATAGTAGTGTAGTGTATAATGTATAGTAGTGTAGTGTATATTGTAGTGTATAGTAGTGTAGTGTATCGTAGTGTAGTGTATAGTGTAGTGTATAGTGTAGTGTATAGTAGTGTAGTGTATCGTAGTGTAGTGTATAGTAGTGTAGTGTATAGTAGTGTAGTGTACAGTAGTGTAGTGTATAGTAGTGTAGTGTATAGTAGTGTAGTATATACTGTAGTGTATAGTGTAGTGTATAGTAGTGTAGTGTATAGTAGTGTGTAGTGTATAATGTATAGTAGTGTAGTGTATAATGTATAGTAGTGTAGTGTATATTGTAGTGTATAGTAGTGTATAATGTATAGTAGTGTAGTGTATATTGTAGTGTATAGTAGTGTAGTGTATCGTAGTGTAGTGTATAGTGTAGTGTATAGTAGTGTAGTGTATAGTAGTGTAGTGTATAGTAGTGTAGTGTATAGTAGTGTAGTGTATCGTAGTGTAGTGTATAGCAGTGTAGTATATACTTTAGTGTATAGTAGTGTAGTGTATAGTAGTGTAGTATATACTGTAGTGTATAGTAGTGTATAGTGTAGTGTATAGTGTAGTGTATAGTAGTGTAGTGTATAGTGTAGTGTAGTGTATGCGTTACGTACCGTACGTAGTGAATGGTGCTAACCGGAGGTGCTTGTGTCGTGTTTACAGAGAGCAAGACCTCCTCACCATCGCCACCATCGTTAGTGTCGTCATCATCGAAGGCTGAGAAAAAACCTGAACAGAGCCGTGAGTGTGCACGATAGCACAATCACGTCCACACAGTTGCAGTGCACGTGTGTGTAGTATGTGTAGTATATGGTGTAGTGTAATGTGTAGTGTATGGTGTAGTGTAATGTGTAGTGTAATGTGTGTAGTATGTGTAGTATGTGTAGTGTATGGTGTAGTGTATTGTATTGTGTAGTGTATGGTGTAGTGTAATGTGTAGTGTATGGTGTAGTGTAATGTGTAGTGTATGGTGTAGTGTATGGTGTAGTGTATGGTGTAGTGTAATGTGTAGTGTAATGTGTAGTGTATGGTGTAGTGTAATGTGTAGTGTATGGTGTAGTGTATGGTGTAGTGTAATGTGTAGTGTATGGCGTAGTGTCATGTGTAGTGTAGGGTGTAGTGTAATGTGTAGTGTAATGTGTAGTGTATGGTGTAGTGTAATGTGTAGTGTAATGTGTAGTGTATGGTGTAGTGTAATGTGTAGTGTATGGTGTAGTGTATGGTGTAGTGTATGGTGTAGTGTAATGTGTAGTGTATGGCGTAGTGTCATGTGTAGTGTAGGGTGTAGTGTAATGTGTAGTGTAATGTGTAGTGTATGGTGTAGTGTAATGTGTAGTGTAATGTGTAGTGTATGGTGTAGTGTAATGTGTAGTGTATGGTGTAGTGTATGGTGTAGTGTATGGTGTAGTGTAATGTGTAGTGTATGGCGTAGTGTCATGTGTAGTGTAGGGTGTAGTGTAATGTGTAGTGTAATGTGTAGTGTATGGTGTAGTGTAATGTGTAGTGTATGGTGTAGTGTATGGTGTAGTGTAATGTGTAGTGTATGGTGTAGTGTATGGTGTAGTGTATGGTGTAGTGTAATGTGTAGTGTATGGCGTAGTGTCATGTGTAGTGTAGGGTGTAGTGTAATGTGTAGTGTAATGTGTAGTGTATGGTGTAGTGTAATGTGTAGTGTATGGTGTAGTGTATGGTATAGTGTAATGTGTAGTGTATGGTGTAGTGTAATGTGTAGTGTATGGTGTAGTGTAATGTGTAGTGTATGGTGTAGTGTATGGTATAGTGTAATGTGTAGTGTATGGTGTAGTGTAATGTGTAGTGTATGGTGTAGTGTAATGTGTAGTGTATGGTGTAGTGTATGGTGTAGTGTAATGTGTAGTGTATGGTGTAGTGTATGGTGTAGTGTAGGGTGTAGTGTAGGGTGTAGTGTAGGGTGTAGTGTAATGTGTAGTGTAATGTGTAGTGTATGGTGTAGTGTAATGTGTAATGTATGGTGTAGTGTAATGTATAGGGTATAGTGTAGTGTATAGTAGTGTATAGTGTAGTGTATAGTGTAGTGTGTAGTGTATAGTGTAGTGTGTAGTGTATAGTAGTGTATAGTGCAGTGTGTAGTGTATAGTAGTGTACAGTGTAGTGTATAGTAGTATAGTGTATAGTGTAGTGTATAGTGTAGTGTATAGTGTAGTGTATAGTGTAGTGTGTAGTGTAGTGTATAGTGTAGTGTATAGTGTAGTGTGTAGTGTATAGTGTCGTGTGGTTTCTGTGTGGTGAGTCTCACTGAGTCTCCATGTCCCACCACCCCCCCAACCACCCCCACCACCCGCCACCCCCCACTCCCCCCACGCACGATGCAGGTGCTGAGGGTCCCGGCTGGTGCTCGCTGTACGGGATGGGCCAGGTGAGGACCTTCGATGGATTCCACTTCGCCTTCTCCAGCGCCTGCAACTTCGAGATGGTGACTATACACACAGACACTGACTATAGACACACAACAATGACTATAGACACACAACAATGACTATAGACACACAGACACTGACTATAGACACACAGACAATGACTATAGACACACAACAATGACTATAGACACACAGACACTGACTATAGACACACAGACAATGACTATAGACACACAGACACTGACTATAGACACACAACACTGACTATACACACAGACACTGACTATAGAAACACAGACACTGACTATACACACACAACAATGACTATAGACACACAATGACTATAGACACAACAATGACTATAGACACACAATGACTATAGACACACACAGACACTGACGATGTGTTTGTGTGTCAAGGTGCGTGCCTGTGACGCTTGCCTGGAGCCCGTGACTATAGACACACTGACTATAGACACAACAATGACTATAGACACACAGACAATGACTATAGACACACAATGACTATAGACACAACAATGACTATAGACACACAATGACTATAGACACACAATGACTATAGACACACAGACACTGACTATAGACACACAATGACTATATACAACAATGACTATAGACACACAATGACTATAGACACAATGACTATATACACAATGACTATAGACACACAATGACTATAGACAAACAATGACTATAGACACACAATGACTATATACAACAATGACTATAGACACAATGACTATAGACACAACAATGACTATAGACACACAATGACTATAGACACACAATGACTATAGACACACAATGACTATAGACACACAATGACTATAGACACATAGACACTGACTATAGACACAATGACTATAGACACACAGACACTGACTATAGACACACAATGACTATAGACACACAATGACTATAGAAACACAATGACTATAGACACACAATGACTATAGACACAATGACTATAGACACAATGACTATAGACACACATTGACTATAGACACACAGACACTGACTATAGACACACAATGACTATAGACACACAATGACTATAGACACACAGACACTGACTATAGACACACACAATGACTATAGACACACAATGACTATAGACACACAATGACTATAGACACACACAATGACTATAGACACACAATGACTATAGACACAATGACTATAGACACAATGACTATAGACACACAATGACTATAGACACAATGACTATAGACACAACAATGACTATAGACACAACAATGACTATAGACACACAATGACTATAGACACACAATGACTATAGACACACAATGACTATAGACACAATGACTATAGACACACAATGACTATAGACACACAATGACTATAGACACACACAATGACTATAGACACACAATGACTATAGACACAATGACTATAGACACAATAACTATAGACACAACAATGACTATAGACACACAATTACTATAGACACAATGACTATAGACACACAGACACTGACTATAGACACACACTGACTATAGACACAATGACTATAGACACACAATGACTATCGACACACAATGACTATAGACACAATGACTATAGACACACAATGACTATAGACAACAATGACTATAGACACACAATGACTATAGACACACAACGACTATAGACACACAGACACTGACTATATACAGACAGACACTGTCTATAGACACACAATGACTATAGACACAATGACTATAGACACACAATGACTATAGACACACAATGACTATAGACACACAGACACTGACTATGGACACACAGACACTGACTATAGACAGACAGACACTGTCTATAGACACACAATGACTATAGACACAATGACTATAGACACACAATGACTATAGACACACAATGACTATAGACACACAATGACTATAGACACAACGATGAGTATAGACACACAATGACTATAGACACAACAATCACTGTAGACACAATAACTATAGACACAACACTGACTATAGACACACAATGACTATAGACACACAATGACTATAGACACACAATGACTGTAGACACAATGACTATAGACACAACAATGACTATAGACACACAACAATGACTATAGACACAACAATTACTATAGACACACAATGACTATAGACACACAATGACTATAGACACACAATGACTATAGACACAACAATGACTATAGACACAACAATGACTATAGACACACAATGACTATAGACACACAATGACTATAGACACACAATTACTATAGACAACAATGACTATAGACACAGAATGACTACAGACACAATGACTATAGACACAATGCCTATAGACACAACACTGACTATAGACACAATA